CTTGCATAGCTATATCTATTATGTAATCAGAATTCATAGCTTTAAATAAAGTTGGGGAAGAAGCAGAATGGCTTCGCCACTTCCTTGAAGATATTTCAATGTGGCCAAAACCGATGCATGCTATATGCATACATTGTGATAGTCAATCAACAATTGATAGAGCATAGAGTCATATGTATAACGGTAAGTCACTATATATTCGTCGTTGACATAACACCATGAGACAACTACTCTCTAATGGAATTATTTCCATTGAATATGTGAAGTCTAAAAACAACATAACGGATCCACTAACCAAAGGGTTAGCAAGAGAGTTAGTTGAGAATTCAACAAGAGAAATGGGACTTAAGCTTATTAAATAAGAGTTACCACAACGGCAACCCAACCTAGTTGACTAGAGATCCCAAGATCTAGGTTCAAAGGGGCAACCAAGTTGTGTATAACTCAGAAGGATCACTGGGGAGTCTAACTCCTACCCATTTCTATAATAAAATAGTGACGTCTGCAGTGTTTTAGGTTAAGTAATACTTTTAATGATTCTTATGTCTAGGTAAACCTAGTGGAGTATGGCAGAATACTCTTCATAAGAATCACCTATGTGAGTGTGAACTGGGCCGGTTCTATGAGATTTGTGAATGGCTACAAATCTCTAGAGCACTCATGAAATACCTGGTTGTCCAGGGCCAAAATGAACACAATAGTGAGAACTAAACTGTGTCTGGTGATATACAGTGTGAGTTTTATTGTCTTGGTTTACACAAATGACTGAACAGTTCAAGACATCATATTCACTAGTTAGCTAGTAAATTCAATAGTGTCTCACAAGGGAAGGTTCAAGTCCAAAAACTACCTATCCTATGCGGAATATTTTCAATTTATGTACTCTCTATAATTAGATCATGTTGTTACATTTTCTCTCCGTCAAATTCCATTCACGTGGGGGATTGTTGGAATATTGGTTTTTTATAGGCTTATTTTGGATCAACTTTGAGCCTAATTTTGAGTGGGCCCCAAACGTCTTTTGGAGTGGGTCCGAAGAGGTGACGTGTTCCTTGTCACATGACAAGTTACACGGTGAAGACAGTTCGTCAAAACCATTTATGAGTGAATGGGAACTTGATGTCATTTTCGGATTCATGAAATGGACATTTAAAGAATTAAATGTGAGTTTCCTTGTAAGGCTTGTCTCACATTGAAACTTGAAAAGAACTTATATATGTATATAAATTCAAGGTGGCAGCACTTGGGTTGGGCCCCAAGGGGCACTCCAAGTTTGTAGAAATGAGGAGTTATGGACAAAGGAACCTTGGCTTAAACCACCACACGCGCGTGCGCGTCGCCCCGGGTGTGGGTTGTGTGTCAAGTTGGTTCTAACATTATTTTTTTTGACAAATTTTATTTGAATTTTTTCAAAAAATTCTTGCAGGAAATCATTTATATTTCAAATTAAATTTGAATTCAAATTTTGTGTAAAAAAAATTATGCCTCTTTCAGATTAATTCCACAACAGATTAAAACAGTCCAAACAGGTCTTAAATTTGTTGCACCTGAACAGATTCAAACTGCCCAGAATAGATATAACTGCTGTGCAGTTTTTTGTTAAAACTGCCAGCAGATCTGTTTTAGTTGAAGCAGTTATCTATTTGAATTTTGAAACTGCACCTGTTCATTCCTTTCATATCTATTCAGACAGATCTGAACAGCCATTGTTTGCCTATAAATACAGCCATTTCTAGCAGGTTTTAGGACTAGAAAAAATTCATTTTTGCTGTCCAGATTTTGCTCTCTTGCATCAATTATTCTTCATATTATTTTAGAAAAAAATTTATAGAGTTTAGAACACAAGTTTTATTCGCCGAACAAATTGTTTGGAGTGCTACTACAATTTGTGAAGATCATTGTATCATGGGAGATGGACGCCATTTGTCCGTAAGCACCGTAACGGGACAAATCTGTCTTAAGGACAGAATATCACACACTTGACTTGATCTTTTTATTATTCATTTGGTTCGATAAAATAAATTGAGTAAGTTATTTATTTTATTTGTTTGATTTGGTTTCAATTTATTTTTTACACAAAAGATTGTTCCAACACTACTATCACTTATGATTTAATTATTTGGAATTAATTTATAAAGAAGTATATGTTATGTAATTGCGTCAAACAAACAGGGTGTTTCAAAGATTGAAAAAGATGTCAAATTTTTTTAATTTTTGTGTCATCTCTATAAATTATCAAATTAACTATTTTAATTACCTAGCTGTAGTTCTACATGGTCTTCTAAATTCGATCATGATTGAAATGAAACTGAATTGTTTTCATAAAATATTAAGAAAAAGTTTTTTTAATTATTCGATCACATCAAGTGCATAGATAACCCAACAACCTCCTCATAGATCTGTTGTGTGTATTATAATTATATTAGCAATCAATTTTTGGTCATGTCGACGTTGCCGTGTAGTATCAACTACAACCTAGCCATGCGCCAAATTACCGAGTAATTATTTAATTTTCTCGAAATCTTATTAATTAGTTCTTCTGTGCACGTTAAATAAGAGCAACTTTAACAAAACGACACCATTATATCATGCATTTTGTGTAGAAAAAATACACCCAATTTTTTTTATTATTATTATTTTTTTTAGATTTACATAAACACCAAATTCTAACATAATTGTCGACATGACATTTGAGCAACAATAATATATTTTTTTAAATAGATAATTTTGCACAAAGCTTGAGGGGACGTTTTCAAAAAAATTTATAGCATAAAAATAGCAATCTCCATTTGTCATATCTAAGTAAAGTAATAAAAAATTAAAACAAGGTTATACTTAGTGAGATAGATACTTTTACCAAGTATTGGACGCTAGCTATACGTGTAGAAAGTCAAAATAAAAATAAATAAAATGTCTCTATTTTGATTAGGATGGTAAATGAATAGAATCGTTCGTAAATAAACTCGAGTTTGTCTTGGTAAGGACCTGTTCAAACTCAGTTCATTAAATTTTTTATTGCGTTCGAGCTCAAGTTTAAACTCGTTAAAATCTTAATAAATAATCACAAACATACTAAAGTCAGGTTTGTTAGTTCGGCTTCTTAACATTTATTTAAATAATAAAATAAATATATTATTGATTATATTAAATAATATAAAAATATATATATAAATTAGGGTAAATATGTTAATAATATATATGAAAAATAATATAAATGTAAATAATAGCTAATTTTATTTATATGTAAATAATAGTTAACTATAGATAATACATGGGTAAATTACAAATACACTTACTGAGATTTGCTTGAAATACAGATTGGCCCCTGTGGTTTGAAAAATTACAAATACACCCTTATTAGAATTTTTTATTTAACAGAACTAACTGAAAAAATGAAATTCATAATTACTCTTCTGTACAATAATAAAATTACCTAAATTATTAATTGAAACATATTTTTTATATCATTAAAAACTGTTAACTGACTTGATGATTTATTAATAAAATGGACGATTTGTTATGAAATTAGAGATCTCAGGAGGTGGATTGTAATTTTCAAAACCACAGGGGGTGATTCGTATTTTAATCAAACCCCAGTGGTGTATTTGCAATTTACCCTAGATATTATTATTTTGATAAGATAAATCTTTTTTTAAAGATATTTATATATATTGTATATAATTGTATTATTAAAGTTTCAATTGTAACTTTAATTTTATACGTAAGCATGAATTTATAATTTTTTTGACTAGTTAAGGCTCGTAAATAGGCTCGAGCTCGAGACAAGCATAACTAACTCGGCTCGAGCTCAGTTCATTAAATTTTTGTTGAATTCTGACTTGAGTTCAAACTTATTAAAATCTTAATAAATAAATCTAAACATACTCAAATTGTGTTATTATAGAAATCAATAGCCTACCATTGAGAATTCCTCATTTGGGACGAGTTTCCAAATTCTTTTCATTTGTTTTGTTTGAATTTTTCAAATAAAATTCATGTTATTATTTTCAAAAAGAAAGTCTACAAATGAGGCCTAATATTTGAGGTGTAAATTCGGTGCCGACCAGTATGAAATATGAACAGTAATTCAACTCTCGCGTATGCACAGAAACAATAAAAGACAGTTTTAAAATCATTTCAATGGCTTATGCAATTCAAAATCAACTTGTTCAATGATGCTGCATATATAGTATTAGAGTGAACAAACACAAATGTCCAAACCCTTTTGCTCTTTTTAACAACTTTACTCGTTTTTCAAACCCACTTCTGCAGAAAAACATATGTGGGTGCTGGAAAGAGACTTGCTACCTTATCTCAAATTTATCGTGCTTAATAAGATTCTCTTGGGGTGAAGGCAAAGTCTTTTGGACCCAACCAGACGTGTAAACTCGGATCTTAGAGGCCATCTCCTTAAACTTATAAACCGGACAATCGAGATGAGACTCAATTGGCAGTCATATATGCACGTATAAGTTACCTACCCCTTAAAACTTGCAAACTGGATAAATGAGAGGAGAGTCAAACCTTAGTGATTATATAAGTTTTTAAGAACAGAACTAAACAAGTTTTTAAGAATTTTATATTCCCAAATTTCAATAGAAAAAAAAAATTAAAATTTTTAAGTCAGTTTCAGTATGAAAGTCGTGGAAGTTGTACTTAGAATGATAACCAAACTTTTAGTTTCTTCTAAAAAGCACTAGAAAATAAAAGAAATTTTCTATGCATAGATCGAGCAAACGATTACCTTCTTCGATCACATCACTGTGCATCACATGCGCGCCATGAATGAACTCCAATCTGTTCCAAAGGCAAGTCTAATTTTGTTCCAGGAAATGATAAACATCAATGTCAACCAGTTGTCTCCACACAAAAACATTGGCAATCAAACCAAAGTGATCATAGAAACAACAAAAGACCTGGGCAACAACATCGTCCGGTACAAAGTAATATGCAGGGGTGCCAAGAAGCAGTGAGCTAAACACACCGGTAATCCAACAATAGATGCATCTTAAACAGAATTTATTAATAAAATCTACTAGAATCTGAATATGATTCTAACTGTTCTGCAAAACTGGTCTCTAGCAACAACTAATCCAAAAATATGATTGAAACTAATAGGGTAGAATAAGAATGGCAAGGTGCAAAGAATGTACAGTTAAAAACCAGTTAACCGAAACTAATGAAGAAAGAAAACAAGACAAAGGGAGAGGCTAATCAAGCATCATCAGGATCGCTTCCACCAATCTGAGCTTCCTGATCCATATAGTGACTTCCATCAGGACCCAAAATCTTAAACCTGCTCAACCAAAAAAATTGTGTTTCAAATTGCTTGGCGACAAAATTGTAATCTATAAATAATATTTAGTACCTCTCAAGAATAAATTTCCCTTCCTTGTACTTTTGGCTCTTCTCATGAGCAGCCTCCTAAAATTCACAAAAAAAATATATAAACAAAATTAAAAAAGGGAGAACAAAGAGACCTAATAGCCACAGCACAAAACAAAAGCAAGCCATCTTACATATTTCCACCCCACGATTGAGCCGCATCCAACACAGAATATGTCAACAACAATATGCATTCCAGTCATCATCATCCGCTCTTCTTTGTCTCCGAAGGTGACATTCACACTGTACATTGAGGAAGCGCAATGTCATTGGAAGGCGTTTTGCATGTGAAAATTACATATGGCATGAATCATGAATGAGCCTGCCAGGTCCGCACACTATTGAGGTTATGTGATTAGCCATTGCATAGTAACTATGTAACTAATGCTACTGTAAAAAAAAAAAAATGGAAAAACACCTCACTCCCCAACAGCCCGTGGGTGGGTTCTCTCTTGAGTGAAGATTTCAGTTTTCTGGGGATATAAAATCAGTTGCCAAACTTCGTAGCATATTGGAATAGTAAAAAAGCATTACACAACATCATCTTTGAATTCACACAAACAGAGGTGTTCCCTTTCATAATCTATACACAAACACACATATATATTGTATAGATATAGCAATTTAAAGGGAGTCCAACATGCAAAAAGACATAACTATTATATTAACATATCTAAATGCATGCATGCATTGATAGCTTTGACTGTAAGCATACAATCATTAGACATCAAGATGCAAGAAGGTCCTAATCACCGACAATCTATGACTTACATTACATGGTTACTAATTTAAAAAGGAGCACCAAAATCAAAGAACACTTACACCTTATCAAAGAGATATGCCTTCCCATGCTTGCAGTGGAAAGACTGGAAACATAGGGAAAACACAATGTTAGGTAGGATATATACCTGTATATTTCCACTAAGCACTAACAGGCAAAAATGGGGCACCAAGTGCATAGCAGAGAAGGATAAATCTAGATTTCTGTTAAAACAAGTGGAACAGAGATGATTCTATAACTTTTGTGCGGTAACATGGAGGGTGCTCTAAATTCTCTCAAATGGGAAGAAATAATATTGAAAAGCACATAAGCTAGACACAACACAAGTAAGCCCATGAATAACACAGATCTCTTCACCAGTATCCTTTAATGTCCAAAAAGCCTCATATGATGACAGCTATGTATTTTAACTTGTGGTAAAATAGGATTTAGCCTCCGAACCATAGACAAAAGGAGCAATATAAGGTAGTAAGCATTAGAATTGGACTGATTTGTAAATCCTCGCTCCTTTTTTCGGTGCATACTATATCCTCGCTCCTGCTCCAACGTTAAACTCTTCTGTAGGGCCCTCACACCCCCATCCCCGCTCCAGCTCCCACTCTGAACCATAGACAAAAGGAGCAATATAAGGTAGTAAGCATTAGAATTGGACAGATTTGTATAACCTCGCTCCTGCTGCTAACCTCAAACTCTTCTGTAGGGCCTCGCTCCCCCATCCCCACTCCAACTCCAGTTCCCACTCCCACTCCCGCCCCCGCCCCTACTTCCACTTTGTGCAACTATGGTTAGCAAGGGGGAAAAAAAATTGCAAAAAAAAAAATATAACTGTCCAAGCTCATCGGCCCTTCAATACCAACATATGAACATCATTGCAAGGATATCATACATTGAATAAGTACTACGAATTCACCATGGCAATCCCAGAGAAATTGTCTTTGACCCATAGATATGCACTTCATCCCTAAATCTTCTTTCATCAGCTCATAAGGTATTCACTTGTATCCTTATCTTAGTCCACCTAATCCATTTCAATCCATAAACCTTCTTTTAAGTTAAGCTCATAAAATACTCACATATATCCTGATCTTAAGTCCACCTAACCACAATCATGCAAATCAAGAAACAAAAGAAAACAAAGCAATGCTACAGAAGAAATGGATCAGATAACATTTGAAGCAGTGGAGTCTTCTAAAAAGTGAGTACCATAGGAGCTTTGACCTAGGAGAAATTCAAACTGATTACTCTTGCAAAGAACACATTCAATTAAGCTTTATATGAAAGATTGGGCAGCAATACTAATGATAGTTCCTTCAAAATCAACAAAGAGTAATTGCCAGCAGACAGCAAGAACCAATGTGAATGACTTCCATAAAAAGTAGAAATCTTAAGATATTGCATTCCCATGTATATATACAAAGACCAAACAACATTTAGAAAAAGGAATGCTAAGCTTCCTTGGGCAAGCTTTGGCAATACATTTAGCTAAAACCAATTGCAATTGCAATTGCAATTTTCAATGCCTTCAATTACTCTTATCATACAAAACTAATTTCGCCCTTCAACTAACAACAGAATGCCCTTTAACCCAAAATTCAATTCCCATTTTCATTTCATTTTCTTAGTTTTAACAGTAATGGGTCTGCTCTTAATGCCCCAACCCAGAGGAATCCAGTGATTATCCATCAAAAACTCATACATTTAACCAGAAGAGGTAAGGTAGAGAGAGAGAGAGAGAGAGAGAGAGAGATGGGAACCTTAGAAAGGATGTCCTCGGAGAGACCGAAATGGGTTTGGCAGTGTTTGCAGCTATAGATGTTCCCTTCAAGAGTGATCAAGAAAAGCCTACCCATGTCTCTCCTCTGTTACAATCACACAGTGTCCCATTACAACCAAAACAAAAAGCCTACATTTTCTACCAAATAAATAATAAATGATTAAATATATCACCAAATAAATAATTAAATGACTCATTTATTTAATAAAAAATTAATATCCCAACGTTACCCAAAAGTAAAAACCATTACTAGACTCATAAAACCAATCGAATCCAAACAAAAAAACCCCATTTCTAGACTCACAAAACCAATCGAATCGAATCAATCAAAAAAACAACAATCAACAATAACCCATAAAAATACAATGCAAACCCAATTGAAATCAGAGAGGAAAGAGACGAACCCAGATTTTGAAATGGGATTTTACCAGCAGCAGTTAAGAGAGAGAAAGAGAGCATAGAAAGAAATCATCGTATTAGGAATTGAAACCCAAACAGTCCCTATTTATACGAGAGAGAGATAGACAGAAATCAGAGTTCTGGATTAAAAAGACTTCCACTTTTTGTGCCTTACATTGCGATTGGAGGTTTTTAACACTTTTTCAGTCCCACTCGCTTGGTTTTCCTATAATTTCACTCTTTTTTCTCACTCATTCCTTCCCCTTTTCTTCTTTAATTTTTGTCATTTTTTTCTTTCTAATATGGGAAAGAAATACTAATACCAAAATTATTTTCAATGGAATCAAATTTGTGTGAAAAAAACAATAAATGAATAATCTCGGTGTAACAAGGATCACATACGGCTACGTGTTATTTCTAAAAAAAAAATCAATCTTTCTCTTGCTTGCCTAGCAATCATCTTTTTCTTTAAACAGTTTCTTATTTGAATTAAATTCAATCATTTAAATTACATTTCCTCTTTCAACTAAATTTATTAATGTAACTTTTTAACTCTTTTACTATTTTAATTTGGGATTAAAAAGTCTACTTTAGTAGTTTTTTGAATTTTTTTTACTTTTATAAGAGAAAAAATAAAATAATTATGAATTAGATGTAACATTTTATTCTATTTAATTAAAATAATCAATTTTATCCTTGAATATTTTAACCAAAAATAATATCCCAAACATGGCTTGAATTATAGGGTGTGTTTGGTAACGTTTACGTTTTCAGTTTATATTTACAAAAATTTTATAAACTGGTTTTTGTTTATTTTTTGTTTATTTTTAGAAAAACATAAACTACAAACGTAATATTTTATTCTATTTTATTAAAATAATCAATTTTATCCTTGAATATTTTAACCCAAAATAATATCTCAAACATGGCTTGAATTATTAGATTTTCTTCCTCTTCCAACTAGGGTTTGACCTTCGTCAACTTTCGATTGCTTTTGTTGTGTCACATAGAATTTATATCCAAAATTATACCACGTGAGCCGACTTAAGACCCATTTGTACCCATGTCCCAACAACATTTGCACCTAATTTAATAATGGTTTTTTTTTTTTTTTAAGGTTCTGGTATTAAGATTTTATAGTATAAAGGATATTTAATATTTTCATAATGTCTAAATCCCTTAATTTAATCCAAAGAAATTCTGCTCCAGAGAAATTCTGTTCAGAGAAATTTCAATTCAGAGAAATTTTTATCTAGAGAAATTTGAAATTTCTTTGATTTGTTCAATTTTTTTGATTTTTTATGTTTTGAAATTTCTCTAGGGTTGAATTTTCTCTAATTTTCTTACAAATAACTCTGTGATTTGCTGCTTTGCTTACCTTCACTCTTGATGTCAAGCAAATTATGGGATTTTCTCTAGCCTTTTCCAGAGAAATTTTCTCCAGAGAAATTCCACATGATGAGAATTTCTCTGGAGAGAATGAGAGATGAAATCGAACAACATCAATATTACTCTCCTTCTCAACAAGAGGGTTTCAAATTTTGATTTCACAAACATTGGGTTTTATACAAATTAAACATTTCAGGTTCCATCTCAAAACCAAAGAATTTATCTGGATCAACCTAGAGAAAATTCAGCTAAAAAACCAGAGAATTTCTCTGGTTTCCACCTAGAGAAAATTCAGTTCAGGTGATCGTGATTTACCATTTCTTTCTGATAATGGATCATCTAAATCAGCTTTGCGGACGTAACCAGAGCCGACCAAAAATATCACAGCCCACAGTTTTTTGCACTATAATATATGAAGATGATTAGCTTTTACCCATCCTAATAAGCTATCAGCATGCATAGTACCTATATCGAGCAGACAGGTCAAAAAAATCAACTCATCTGCAGGATCTGCACGCCGAACAATTTCATATGGCACCACAAACGTGGTAACTCGTGCCAACGAGCGTGAAGCTCACACTTTTGCACCAGTCTACCTCAAAAACACCGGCGCCGGAGAGACCACCATGGCCGACTGAGCTTAAAAAAATGGCCCTCCTAGATGCCACTCGCTGAAACAAGATGTGCGATACACGCCGAAGCCAACACGCTGCATCTTTCTTCCTCACACACCATGACCACCGATGCAAACCCAGAAACAAGCGCTACCACCGGCGCAAAAAACCGACAGCATCAGAGTAAAACCCAGCACCGTCGGAAACGAACTTGGATCAATGCTGCACAAAAACACATGTCCAGAGCCACGCGACCACGTCGGTAAACCCACAAGCACCACAGTGAACGACGAGCCCACCTAGAAACAAACAACCCCACTGGACATGCCACAAACTAGCATAGGAACACAACCCAGAACATAGAGAATTTCTGGGAACAAACGATCACCATTTCAAAGCAACGTCACCACTGCAAGCTAGGGTTTGGGGTTGATGTAAGAGAGAGAGAGAGAGAGAGAGAGAGAGAGAGAGAGGGGAGAAGAGAGAGACCAAACTCAGTTTTTGAAGCCCTTTCGTTTCTTCTTAAATTTCTCTATGATATATGAGTTTGGAGTTGAAAGACTTTAGACATCATAAAATAATATTATGGATCTCTTCCATTATTAAAAGTGAGAGAGGGACCTTAGACTAATTTTTCCTTTAATAATAGAATAAAGTTATACATTAATTGGTATATTAATTAGTGCATTAATAAATAATATGATATAATTTTATTAATTTTGAATTTTTATAATTTGTATAATTAAGGAGATTTATAGTTTTGAAATTACAATGTTATAGCATGTATTGATACACTAATTAATATCGGTGGTACTACATGCACTAATTAATGTACATACTAATATACCAACTAGTATTATACTATTATTACCGACCTCACTTATTATATAAATTACAAACACTCAAAAATTTTAAAATTATGCTACATCATTTGTTAGTATATTAGTAGTACATTAATTGGTACATATAGTATTATTCAATTAATATAGTAATTTGTATAAATAACACCACCATTAATAATAAAAACAGGCAAGACTACTTCACAACTCCTCGTTTACTATTGAATAATACTATATGAACCAACTAGTATACTAATTAGTGTATCAATTAATGATATGATATAATTTAAAATATTTTTGGTATTTATAATTTGTGTAATGAGTAAAACTAATAATAGTGTCATAACTAATGTTAGCACACTAATTAATACAAATAGTTTCACTGTTTATTATTTGCTAGAAACAATGATAAAAGGAAGAAAAATAATAATAATAATAATTAAAAGTTACACCTGTTTAATAATCATGCAAGGAAAGGAGAGAATATAAAAAAAATAAATAATAACAATAATTTTATAGTACAAGGACACAAGTACACAAGTATAAACATGCAAGTGTATGAGATTTTGTTCATTTTATAGTTTATTTTATGTCTGCAGCCTTATTGGTGGACAAAAGAAAGCATGAGAGGAGTGTTTTTTTTTTAATTTGACCAAAACATTTTCATAATGAAATTTTAATATATTGACAAATATAAAAATTTATCTTAAAAAATTTAACACATATCACTATTATTAAAATATATTTAATAACTAATTTAATATTTTAAATTTTAAAATAATATAATTTTTTTTATCTAAATGTCAATTTTTAATAAAATTAATATTTTTAAAATCCTCATCTATCAAACAAGATTAATTTTGATTATGAAAATTTTTAAATAATAATAATAATAATAATAATAATAAAAATAAAATAATATCATCAAAATTTATGTAAATTGTAACATGTTATTCAGATTAACAATAACATGTTAAAAACAAAATACATATTAAAAAAACATAGTACATACTAGATGAACCAACCAAAAATATACATAAAATATTTTTAAACTTATATAAAATAAAATAAAAATATTCATCGTCAAAAGAGTTTTGTGAGATATATATATATATATATATATTTATGCATGGACAATATTATCCATGAAAAAAATTTACTCTATCCTTACTTAACTATGCACCTCCTTCTTAAAAGATTTGTGAAACAAAATAAATTGAGTTATTATTTTTACCAAACAATAGTCCAATAGAAGAGCTCCCACTAAATTTCCCTTTTTAATATAATCTAATGGTTGAATATTTCGAAACATGGGGAAAACAAATTTGGGAATAGAAAATCCATGCCTTGACAAAATTTGGGAACAGAAAATCCCTGCCATTCGTTGTCTCTCCAATGCAATCAAGTCTGCTTTATCTGAACTACATACCTAATTTGGTTTGGATCCCCCCCGCAATAGAATTTTCCAAATTTCAAAACTCAGCATTGACTATGTGTACAAAACATGCACTTAGTTGATCATCTAATTCCAGTCACAACACCATCAAAGATACACTCTCAACTTATGAACACAATCTCCATACAACATTCATAACCCCAAAAAAGGGTAAAACAGCTGCCAACCAATTTAAAATTCTGGGCCATAAAGCAGTAATCCAAAATTGCAGCAGAAATCAATGCAGACAAATAATAAATAATGTCAAAATTTCAAAATGGAAAGCTATAATTCAACAGAATGGTCTAAAGTTACAGAAGGAGAAATTAAACATGAAAGAAATATTGTTATGTTTGGTACAATTAAAAGCAGCCCTTGAATTGCCCCTAACATTTTTAATACTCAGATCACTCACTGCTCTAATCCGAAAAATGGTGCATCTAGCAAATGTTCACACTGTCAAATGAATCAAGTGAAAATTTGCTTTCTGCGTGAAGAGGAACCTGCTGTTGAAATAAAAATTAGAACGGAAGACCATCTTGAGGAATTCTTCTCTCAACTTTACCAACTCTCCGGGGAGGCCAGACAATGTGGGTAACTCTTCCCTGAACCAAACCCAAAGGAATCTGCCGATATGATTTAGTCAGCAACTTCTAATGTTACAAACAAAAAAAAAAAAAAACATAAATTTTCCCACATAGATTAAAATGTGATTTAAAAAAAATAGAAGCAAGCAGCGTTCACTGTCTGCTGGTTTCTGTTAAGGACAAATAGTCTCAAGTTTGAGATCAAATAATCAGCGTTCACTATAAATGTTTATTTATCTATAATTATAATTCCAATTACAATAATTATACCATGTAATTTAGCAATTTTCAAGCAATATAACTGTAAGATAGCTTCTCAAAGAAGCAAGCCGCCACCAATATTCGGAGAGTTTTAACTTCAAATCTTGGCATTTGAAAAGTATGCTACCAATGAAAGTTAACTGAGCACAATATTCATAATTTCACTCCTCCCCCTACCCCAGGAACAGAAACATTACTCTTCTTTGAACTAGTTTTGCAACATGCTAAATCACACAGTTCACACCTCTAAATCCAATTCTTAATTCAGACCACCACACCACCACAACAGTATTACCCAAAAGAATATTACATTAAATTTTTTTTTAAAATCAACTGATTATCTTAAATATTTTACAAACTTTATACACTTTTTTTTCAATATTCATATGCACTTTCTATTTAATATTATTCATGCACTGGCTACCTCCAAGGTTCCACAAATAGCATCCAATATCAACAGGAAATCAGACCTATAAATTCATAAATAGGAAAATACATGAAATGCCGAAGTCGTCTACCACTAACAAAAAGACCCACAGTCAACCAACGCAAGAAAATGGAGTTAGGGGTAACATACGGGACCAAAGGATCTTGAATCCAAGCTAGAAGCAAAATTGTCTCCCTCAACCCAACAATGGCCTTCTGGAACCTTCAGAGCATCATGAGCATAAGGACTTGAGATCCAGTCACCTGGCAAGGCAGTGATTCTCTTTATGTGGTTCTCCTTGTGGTTACTTGGGGAGCTGCAAAAGATGTCACCATAGCAATATCAGTATTAACTATTAACATTGAACTTGGTATTAGAAGCATATCTCATACCTGTATGAGATCAATTATCAAAATTTGCTCATGTCTATGCAAATATTATATATGCTCACAGTTCAAGTGTCTAATATAGGTTAATCCTAGTACTGATGAAAGTCTAAGATTTGTGTTCGCCAAGGTAAAGCAACATAGGGGAATGACTGAACTAGGCTCTTCTCAAGCACATGGAGCTCGATTCAGTGACGAACTCATTCAATGTCGAGCAATCTGACACGCATACCCAGTCCACAAACCAAGCTTGAGCAGGCCTGTGCATCACTAGGAAAGGCCAAAAAACACAGAGATGCATACTGCCATCAGTTTTGAAGGTTTACTCTTGATATGCCCTATCTTTAGTCTTTTTTGTATTATTATCATTATCCACAGGTAGATTATCACATTGAACACTCAGTTACTTGCCGTGTAATTCACAAAATCAAGTTTGACCTTGATATCGATGCAAGAGAAATCTTGATTCGAGCTAGAGCTTGATTTTTGCTTGTTCATCAACAAGGTCTCCAGTCTAGGGTTGTATGCAATTATTGAAGCAAGCCTCAACATGTTTTTTGGCCAAGGCTTCAACTCAAGGCAAGTATGCACGGAGTCCTACCTAGACAGTTACCCCAAACAGCCCAATGTCTACTTGGCTCAGCTCAACTAATTTGAACCCATATGCCCAGCTACCAAGACCTACTTCAGGAAGGAAACTCCCTTCACAAGCAATTGGGCCTCTACTTAGCAATAAAATCCTAAAACAGATTAGCCATCACACAATCATACAACACTTCATATTCTAAAGACGGCAATAATGAAGAAGAGCAATCAAACATTGGCAAGTAGAAATTACCAGAAAACTACCACGTCACCCTGAGAAAACTTGTACTTATCAAGGCAAAATTTCTCCACCAAAACGTAGTCATCTGCAGCGATATATGAATGATTAACGTGATGAAGTTTACTATCAAGGTAAAACACTTCGTCCCAATTTTCTTTAAAATGTTACCAGTCAATCCTGTCAAAGTGCTGCCGTGGGGATTGAATGTGGGAGACATAGAGACACCTCGAATAGGAACAACACTAGCATAACGATCTGAAACGGTAAGGGCTATGAGTCCAAACGTGAAATATTTCTTGGCAAAACTCCACAGAAAATTTTGGGTTCCCATACCAGTATTTCCACAAACAGATGCATGTCAGGTGAAGAATGAACTCATCTGCATAAGAGATGTCAAGAAATAAATTACAAGGGCCAAGATTTGCAGTAGATATGCTTAATAGTGAAGTATTATCTTGCTTATCAAAAAACAAAAAACAAAAAAATAGTGAAGCATCAAATCAGTTTACAATTCAAGTGAAAAAACATCGCGCATTATTTAACCAGTCAAAAAACTCATAGTTCCTCATTGGCAGTTAACCCATAGCAATTTGGAAATATATTAGTCTACATTCTTGCTGCTACATATACTGATGAGAAAGTTACAAGTATGTATCCCTTAGATATTTATAAAATCTTACATCACAGAGTTTTATGCCGGTGAAAAGCTCTTAGGCCATGTTGGAGAGCCGGGTCGGACAGGATTTATCTGGATAGGATAGGAAATTGTATTGAGTGGATATAAAGTTTTCCCATCCCACATTTGGATTATCTCTGAGGACATTTATCAAACAGTTGGTTTGCAACAAAAATTGTACATTCTTCAAGATACAAACCACTAAAACAACTTTTCAACGGTATATAAAGACTGTCTCTCAGGACATTTATCAAACAGTTGGTTTGCAACAAAAATGCAAAATTCTTCAAGATATAAAACTCTAAAACAACTTTAGCGATTAACTATGTTTTACACACCACCACCCAAAGTTCAATGTCAATGAAGTCATGAAATACTACTACTTTTAACCAAAGTCGCGATTTTTAACATCAATTTTTAACCCCCAAAAAAAAAAAAACCAAAAAAAATTCCAAATTTAAAACCCTAATATCATATCTTCACATGGAAAAAGAGAAGAATGAGCATCAATTGAATAACAGAGAAAAAAAAATAAGAATCAAAAGAGACCCAAAATAGCATAATGAAATTCCAACTATGCAATGTTAAAAATAATGTAAATAAAACTTACTTCAGGCTCGATCCAGTCCTTACAACAAAAGAAAGATGTTACAGCAGCAACAAATTGCAGAAGCGTTGGTGTCAAGCCTTCAATGGCAAATCTTCAGGCTCGTGTTCCCAATTTGGAATGAGGTCGGCCTCAACGAATGGGCTAGTAACAATAAGGGTTCGTTTATTTTAGTTTGAAAAATCATTAAATAAATTTATATATATATATATGTATTAGTTTTTAAATTTTGTTTGGGAAGTTGGGGTTTGGTTAAAGCGATTAGGGGTGTGCATAATACTGTTAAAATCGTCGAAATCGTCAAAATCGCACTAAATCGCATCGCTAAGATAAATTCGTTATTATTTGAGAGGAGGGGTCCCTACTGTGGAGGATTCACAGCAGTGACTGCTGTGACGTAAAACGCCACCGTTTTACTTTTTTTTTTTTTTTTTTTTTTTTTTATTTGGTTTTAATTAGGAAAGTATTATAAATAGATTAATTTTTTATCTATATAATAGTCCAAATCGATGGTGTAACAAAAATTTTACAAAAAAATATGGCGATTCACAATTGAAAAACAACGAAAAATATTGGAGATTCTAAGAAAGTACTCACAATACTATTCACATCAATGTGATAGAATGTGTTAATTTTTAATTTATTACACATTAATGATAGAGCCCAATTTCAATACTATATTATTATAAATGAATTTATAAATATAAAATGTGAGCCTCTACTATTATTCAAAAAAATAAATGACATATTCAGCATGAATTATAATTTCTCACTTACCGTATAGAGACAATGGTAGCCACCTCACGGAGTTTTTGTATCATGCTGTGTGAACCGCAAAATGTCCCTCTGATGACACAGAAAACACAGAGAAAACTGTTCTTGTTTTGTTTTCCTCAATAAAAACTTTTCTTATTAACTAGAGATTCCTTTCAAGGCCTTTAATCAACCACTTCTTTTGACTGGGAAAACATCAAAGTGATGATTTTAAAATTAATCTTTTTAAAAAAATACAATTTGGTTTCATAAATTGATTTTAATTTTAAAATTAATCTTTTTAAAAAAATACAATTTGGTTTCATAAATTGATTTTAATTTTAAAATTAATCTTTTTAAAAAAATACAATTTGGTTTCATAAATTGATTTTAATTTTAAAATTAATCTTTTTAAAAAAATACAATTTGGTTTCATAAATTGATTTTAATTTTAAAATTAATCTTTTTAAAAAAATACAATTTGGTTTCATAAATTGATTTTAATTTTAAAATTAATCTTTTTAAAAAAATACAATTTGGTTTCATAAATTGATTTTAATTTTAAAATTAATCTTTTTAAAAAAATACAATTTGGTTTCATAAATTGATTTTAATTTTAAAATTAATCTTTTTAAAAAAATACAATTTGGTTTCATAAATTGATTTTAATTTTAAAATTAATCTTTTTAAAAAAATACAATTTGGTTTCATAAATTGATTTTAATTTTAAAATTAATCTTTTTAAAAAAATACAATTTGGTTTCATAAATTGATTTTAATTTTAAAATTAATCTTTTTAAAAAAATACAATTTGGTTTCATAAATTGATTTGTTATGAATTATTTTTTTTATTTATTATATTTTCTATTTATAAAATAATTTTTTTTTAACACAAATTCACCCCCTTCAACTTTACAGGACCGCGGGACCAGAAGATGGCTCCGTCCCTGTTAAGTTTATTGTTTTGTTTGTTATAGTGAAAGAATTAATGAAGAATCAATGAACCCTCACATTAATTTACAAAAAAAAAAAAAAAAAATTCAAAAAACAAGTTCTAAAAAATGAACCAAACATCGCAAGATGGTAATAATGGAGAAATATTTTTATAATGCCTAAGGTCCTTCAACATTTTTCTAAAGAAATTTCGATATAGAAAAATTATGTGCAGAGAATTTCTCAGAATTTCTCTGGGTTAAAACTAGAAAAAATTGAAATTTTCCTGAGTTCAAACCAGAGAAATTCAGAGAAAATTGAAGGTAGCGTTTAATTTAGTTTTAAAATTGTAATTCTCTTTTTTAAGTTGTTACTGCTCGAGGGGAATTCAAGATGTCAGTAATCCAAAATAAAGTTGGATTCCAATTCACTTTTCAATCTTTTTTTTTTGGCCATGTTGTAAACTTGCATCAGCTCATTTTTCAATCTAAATACTTTTTAACAGTAAACATTTTCAATATATTGTAAACCTGAATGATATTAATTTTATATATTGTATTTGATCATTGTAGCTACCACAAATGCTTGTAATGAACTGATGGCATAGTCGTTGATATTATCATGTTGTTGCTACACTTGCTGCATCAGAAGAAAGCTTCGCAAGATGCTTAACATCACGGTATCTCTCGTCTTTTTTTTACTCTTTGATTTAAGTTTTGTAATTTGAATTATATTTTTTATAAACCGCCAATCCGCCCGAACCGCCAAGGCAAATCCGCCATTATTTGCCAACCGAACCGCTGGTTTTTGATAAGGAAAATGGCAAATTCTAGTGATACTTTTATCAACCCGCCCCCCGCCATACGATTTCTATTTTTCTCTCAAACCGTACCGACCTGCACCGCGCACACCCCTAGTCACAATTTGTCCAACGGTTTGTTCAAAAAAAAAAAAAAATCATTCAATAAAATCAAATATCAAATCATATTTGTTTTTTCTTTTACAACCATCAATTTAACTAAAAATAAAAAAAAGCACACACAAATCACCTCAAACACATTTTTTTTTTCATCTTGTGAAATAGCCACAAAAAAAAACCATTAAAATAGCTAAATTCTCAAACAAACACTCATTTCTTTGTTAGGTTTAATTTTTTAAAAATTATTTTTAGCCACATTTTCATTTGTCTTTACTAAAATTTTTGCATTTTTAGTTTAATTTTTTTACTTTTTTGCATATATCAATATTAGATGCATTTAAAAAGTAAATAAAAAATTTAACTAAACTATAAAAAATTTTAAAAAAAATAAAATCATTGAAAACAAAAGAAAACCCAAACAAAAATGCACAAATTTTTTTTTTCAAATTTTGTTTATTTTTAGTGATTTTTGTTTTAGTCAATTTATTTTATTTTTTATATGTATACAATTAAAAAGAATATTAAAAAAAATTGATCAAAATCTAAACAAAAAATTCACTAAAAATAAACAAAAAAAAAAGGAAAAATTAGTCTAGGGTCCCTCTCCCACTTTTTGTAATGGAAGAGATCCACAAAATTATTTTTTAATATCTAAGGTCCCTAAACATATATCAGAGAAATTTGACTCTTTGTCTCTCATCCTCTACTACAGAGCAGCACTTCCTCTCTCTCTCTCTCTCTCTCTCTCTCTCCGAAGCCCTAAAGAGAAGAGATGGGCAAAGCAGCACGAGGAGCCGAGGCTGTAGAGTTGGATAGGCTCATCTTCATAATCGAAAGCATATTGAAGACTCGGATTGATTCTATCAAGAAAACGAACGAGGTTCCTACGTCTCTTATAAATTCCTAAACTCTCTAACTGTTAACTTTTACTAATGATGGGTTGTTTTGCTTCCAACTGTCAAAATTGAACTACTTATACATACTCTCTCTCTGTCTCTCTCTCTCTCTCTCTCTCTGATTGTTGGGTTTGATTACGGAGTTGGATGAGTTTTGAATAATCTGGGAAGTTATTGGCCGACCCATTTCTTTAGCCATCTTATCCTTTTTATTCATGTTACCCATTCCCCTTTTTTTCTTTTTCTTTTTTCCAATTTTACAATGCATAGTGAGTGTTTGATTAGTTTCCTGCAAATTATATATACACACGCAATGATTTTATATATATTATGTATATTTTCATAGATTTCACACTCATATATACCTGTACCCATGTGTGTATGTTTAATTTCATTCCTTCAATGGTTGTGCTTCTTAGTCTGCAAATCCCACTGATGTTACCACCAGATGGAGTTAACATTCTTTTTGGGATGGATTTGGGTTGCTGCGTACTTTCATTTTCTTTGTTACATCGACATGCCTAGGCTGAAGTCAGGGGATATCTGTAGGTTTTATTGACTGATTATATTAATGTTCTATGTGGTTTTGAGTTTGATGTTGGTGTTTTGTATAATCTAACTTCATGTCCTTATTTTTTATTTATCTTCCATGTTTTCTGGCAGCTCTCAGTGATGAACTGTTTTATCAGGGGATCAGTGGTTGGGTATGTTCAGTTACCACCAGATGGAGTTGACATTGAACTGCTTTATGATGTTACAAGAAGAGAAGCTCGTGGTGGCTGAAATTCAATAGTGACGATTCAGTGTATTTTATGACTATTCTGACTTTGGATGTAATAGTTTTCTGGTTCTGAATGTAACTTACTTTTGGCATTCCAATGCCTTAAAACATTTGAAATAGATACTCTTGAGCTGTATTACAGAAAATTAGATTTCCATTATTATAAATTTATGTGAAGTTTTCCAACTTCCTCACTACCAATTCAAGGTTTAGGTGGAGGGCGACAATGTACTTGTGATCAGCGAAGAAAGGAAGCGAGAGGAGGAGAAAGATGGGGCTAAGTATTTGAGGATAGAGCGGAGGCTTGAGAAGTTGATGAGGAAGTTTTTGTTGCCTGAGAATGCTAATACTAATCAGATCTATGCTGTTTGTCAGGACGGTGTGCTCACTGAATTTCTCTGGAGCAAAATTTCTCTGGAGAGAAATTCAGAAGTGCAGAGAAAATTGGTCAAAACACAGAGAATCCAGAGAAATTCATAATTTCTCTAGAGAGAAATTCCGAAGTCTAGAGAAATTTGGTTAAAACACAGAGAATCCATAATTTCTCTGGAGAGAAATTATGAATGAAAATTTCTCTGGAGAGAAATTTCTCTGGTGGGTGGAACATAGTGAACCTCACAGCTTTGATTTTTCTCAAGGGACGGTGGGTCAGCAAAGCATCAATGATCCAATTTTACTTATCATTTGTCATCATATTTGGTCTGAGAATCACCTTCGGAGGATGGACTTTCATAACATTCTTGGCTGTGACAACCCTCACCTCTGATTAGCGTTAAATTGTGATTGAGCATGATAAGTAATTGATTAAGATGAAATCCTAAATTGATTACATGAGTGTGTTGTTTTGAATGTATTTTTATCTGTTTGTTATTGAATAATCTGTTTATGTTTTAATTTCGAAT